AAAGATTATTACTTCAGGAAGATATATACATGCCTTTTTAACCAAATATAGTCTAAATATGTCTGTGTAATCAGGAGTTTTCTTTTGAAGAAATATAATTGTGCAGAGGTAAACAGAGGTAAAACCCACTCTTATTTTTTATCTGATATGCTGATATTCTTTGTATCGTAAAACAAAGCAAAATAACATACATAAGAGGAACTGACAGTGAGCATTTAAAATATTAACTTCAATGTACAAGTTGTGCGAATAAAAGCGGCTGCTGCAACAACATTGTATTGTAAACTATAAACATGTTATAGGTTAGAGGTGGGGACAAGTAGGTTGGGCCAAAATTTTGGTAGGGTGATGCCCCTATGGTCCCTATGCAATCCTACGTCCATGGGTGATCCATAATGCTTGCATTAACCTGTGCAACAACACGCTGTATGCATGCATTCAGATTAAATAGCATCACTTGTCTGGCTTTGCTTTGTGTCATAACAGGCTGTAATACGTGGCATGTGGCTTTTATTTTAACATCAGACAGTCTTTGTTTACTAATGTGGTTCTCAGTTCTGTCAGACCCATTACCAAACCCAAATAAAGAAACAACTTCAACACCATGTAGGAGTGATTTAAATGAAATCTTGGAAAATATGAACATGGTTTTAAAAGCTGAGTCAAACTCCTGGTCAGTTTCTTGTTAAACAAAGAATGAATACATGAAAAACAACTCATGACCATTGGTATGGTGGTGGAAGAATGATACTGAGGTACAAAGAGATACAAAGGTCACTATTCTGGGTCTTGCTATGAAGAAGTTGCAAGAAAAACAACAACCATGGCGGACGATGATGCAGAGAGTAGTGTTTATGTTTAAAAATCCTGAAAAGATTGTGTTTTTATGGTTGGGAAAGATCGCTCGATGCGCGCCAGCACTACCATCCATATTTACTTCCATAAACACAGAGCATGCTGGCCTGTGATATCATTGCATACTCTTCTGCGCATAGGGGACATCAAGCATCAAGGCCTGCAGTGTGAACGTAGCCTTAGTCTTAAGGGAAATCAGAAGGTTTCCATTTACAGATGTTGCTCTGGCTGTTTAAACTAACATTGTTATGGGAACATTTTTATTTAGTCAAAGCTGTCAAGGACCTTTGTATTGAACCTTAACAAACTAAAATAAAACACTGATTATTTTAATAGATATTACTTTTATTCAATTTAACAGCATTAAGATTTTGAAAAAAAATTATCTCCATACATCTTAAGTATTATATAAATTGGTAAAGGGTTTTATTTGCATAATGATAATGAAAAAAAAAAAAAACATAAGTCCAAACATAAAGAAATGATGGGAATGTAAAAACAGATTTGTTTGAACCTACTTACACACATTTTTGGGATATCATTTCGACAGATGTTGGCTTTTGATTGCATTTTAACAGACTCTTAAATTTATTTTCTTTTTCGGTGTTGTCTAATTCTGTTTCTGTGCTTGTCTCTCAGCAGTAATATTAAAGTACATAAGTATAAAAAAGTATAAAGTATAAAATATATTACTCTGGCTAGGGAAAAAATGGATCAGCCATATGTTTATATAACTGTGAAGTGTGCTGTGAGCTTCTGAAAGGTTGAAGTTCTCCCTTTCGGCCATCAGCTCTGTCACCACCTTGGCACAGATCCACCATAAATTCCTCTGCCGAGCTGTAGATGTTGCTTCCTTTTATTCAAAACGATCCTCTGCTTATCATCCAACTCTATGAACTCTATAAACGTCTAAATCAACCGTCAGCCTTGCCTTTTTTGACCGCACATTTTTCCCATACTTGTGTCCAGTGTAAACAGTATGCCACCTGTTTTATACCAGCAAAACATTGAAGGGACCGAATAAGATACATTGAGTGAGGAATTTAAACAAAGCATGTTTAGCTACTTCAAATCAGGCGTATAAATAAGCAAATTTGAATGATTTAGTTTATATATATATATATACTTTTGTTATTTTTTGGGGCAGCTTTACTTTTTGTTTTTCTGTTCCCAGTGTTTCTCTTTAATAATCAGTCACAACTTCTATTATTGCATCCTGTGCAAGTCAGCAAATGCTGCCTCCAGTTTGTTCTCAGATAATCATCAATGATCATTTGCCTCCTGATTCCAAGTAAAGTCCACTTTTATAGACCTGTAGTAATGGTTCTCATATCTTGTTTTCTTTTCCTTCTTTCCCTATATAGCCTCTTTCTTTAACCATTAAACGTCTACATCTCAATCTTTTCTGTCTCCATGGTGTGTTATTGGTCCTGCACAGCTGCAGTGTTTGTATAAAACCCCTCATATTCACCCCTCTCCGACTTCTGTATGCCTTTAAGTTGAATTTCCACTGTTAAATTGTTTTTTTTAAAGAAGTCATTTTACAGAACTAACATAAAACCCCAGCAAAATGATGTGGATCTGAACAGCAGCTGCACACAGAAGCGTATTCATGAAATTCTCTCCTTCCCTCCTGTGTATATGATGTTCTAAGGGCTCATATTGAGGTAAATTGCTGGGTATGGTGATGTACAGCACTGCCCAGAGTTTGCTTCATAGTGCTTTTAGTGTGCAGGACTAGTCTAGGTATGTGTAACACTGTGGGTTTTGGGTTGTGGTCTGTGGCAATGTCAAATGTTTTATTTTTTTCTACTTTCAGGATTAAATCTAAATCAAATTCAAAAGTCTTTGAATGGCACTCAAGGCTAGTAAATCACCATGTTCTTTCCTGAGTGTGCACAGGAGACTGTGAAAGGCCTCTTTGATAACCTTCCAGTTGGACAACAGGGTTGTAGTAGGGCTGTGTGAGGGTCTAGTTAAAACACACAGTCTTTGCAGGATCTGACGGATCAAAGCTGACCCTGTGCAGAGTAATAAGTGCACCTCAAACAACTCTGAGAGAAGAGATGGAGCAGGGAGTGTTTCACAGTTGGATGCATTGCTGGAAAAAAATAATTTACACAGAACCTCTTTGTTTTTTTTTTACTTACTTTCTTTTAAACTTCTCAGATTGTTAAACTAAGTTTAAATTTAGAACGTTAATGGTTAGAATTTCTTCTTTGTTTTCAACAACCACTTTAATTCTATTCAATTTAAAATGCATTAATGTTCACTCTAGTATCTAAAAATTTCAAAACATTTAGGTTTTGCAAAACATAAAAAAAAAGTAGCAATCTGCACAAACCTATATGCTTTGTTAAAGTACTGAATTGTTAGAGTCACATTTAGTATGTCTGTTCTGCTCAGCTCTGTTTTATGTCCCACTTTTAAAGGTCAAACGAACCAAAAATCAAGAACTGCATGAAAGATTAAAGTCATTTAACAGAACTTGTAAACACAAGAGGAATGCAAAGAATGACCAAACTGCTGTAGGATGCTGATAAATAACCACAGGAAACAGTGAAAAGCTTTCTCTGTCATTAAAAAAGTTTAGCAGTTGAATGTCTGAGGAGGATGCTGGAAATGTGGTTATTTCATTTGTTTTTATTTCAATACATGTAACCTCCTTAGCTTAGTAATTAGGAACAGGGGACTAATGTTTCTTGGTTTTTATTTTGAAAGTATTTGTTTTGTTTTTTTCCTTTAATGTCATATAAATTACCTCTGTTCATAATTGTCCTCTGCAGAGATTTTTTTAGATAATACTACTAAAGAAAAAAAAAGGTAATCTTGTATTTTTTATCAACACCACTGAACAAGAAAATCCAAAGACTTTTTAT